AAAAATTCTGACATTTCACAATACTGCAAGAAACAATTCTGTTATACAATTAAGTTATACGAGGTCATATTACTTCTATGAGAATAAAATCTTAAAGTAGAAAGTATATCTCAAGTATAGAGCATTGAATATAATACAAAGCAAAATCTACCAAGAAGTAAAGCTATTAACTCTAAATTGGCAAATATTACTAGATGATGTTTTTAAATGTATAAATACTATACTCTCCAGATCAATCATTTAACCAAAATGTATTTTTAAAAATAGTTTTGAGTACAAAAAGCTTTTAAACTTAAATTTAATAGAATTCACCCAACCCTAGGGTCAGCTGTATCACTTGCTAAATCTCTTAGGGGCTTAGAAACAGAACTAGCTATCTAATACCTATGGTATCAGCCCAGATAACATGAAAAAAGAACAATCAAGACTCAGTGAGTCTCATTCAGTTACTGTATGGCTTTCAATCATTCATTAATGTCTTTAAGAAAATATCAGAGGTGTTTTTACTCTATTTTTTTAATTGGTTGAACAAATATTTAAGTATAGACTTTAATTAGTATAGACTAAGACTTCACAACCTAATAATAGTGCCATCTCCCAAGCTAATTAAAATGACGAAGGGCACTTGGGATTTATAGACTGAAAACCGTATATTTGATTTTTTTAAACCATCATTATCAGTCATTGAATAAAGGCTTAAAATAATTTAATTGTATATGAGTCTTAAATATCCATTTAGATGTCTAGCATTATCATGCTTAAGAGAAACTATACTGGGGAAAACTACTGCCCATAATTTATTCCCATGATGTAGAAAAACCTCAAAACACCTACTAGATAATGATTAGGAGGGAGAAAATGTTGGAAACTGGTCATTTTAACAGTACACTGTAACATGCCCTCTTAGAAGTAAGGAGACTAACATTAGACCAAGTAGGGACTCTGCACTAATCCATTCTTCATGTCTTTGCTCAGTCAGATATTTAAATTACTTTACGAGAGACTGCTCAAAGTGAAGATATCCTAAGGCATGAGTTATTTATTAAGCCAAATGCCAATTATTTTCCATATTGTGATTAAGATTTTCATATCCCCCAAACTATTACATCTAAGTGGACAATCTCCCATTACAAAATGACTATTATACTGCTAAGATCAATTTACACTAAATAAATAACCTCCTCTAACAGATTAATGGTTCTGTATTTAAATGTGTGAAAGTTTCTGGAGAAAAGCCACAAAACTGTGCTCTTTAACACTATATCCTTCTGTACAACATTTCCATGGTGACTTGAATAATGAAAAAACAGGTCTGCTTATCAAGCTGCAAGTGACCAGTAGGTAAGTACACTTAACAATACACATATAATCAATGTTCAAAATTACCATTAGGTTAAAATGCTATGCCAAAAACATCTAAATAAAATTTACAAGAGGTAAGTCTGAAATCAGGTTTAAAAAATTATTTCACTAGCTCAAGGTGAAGAAATGGTTTGGCAACAGTTCATTTAAGAAAGTAGGCTTAGCCGAAACCGGTTTGGCTCAGTGGATAGAGCGTCGGCCTGCGGACTGAAGGGTCCCAGGTTCGATTCCGGTCAAGGGCATGTACCTGGGTTGCGGGCACATCCCCAGTGGGGGATGTGCAGGAGGCGACTGATCGATGGTTCTCTTTCATCGATGTTTCTGACTATCTCTCTCCCTTCCTGTCTGTAAAAAATCAATAAAATATATTTAAAAAAAAAAAAAAAAAGAAAGAAAGTAGGCTTTAGCGCAGCCAGTGGTTGAGCATTGTATGAACCTGAAGGTCACGGTTCAACTCCAAGTCAGGGCACCTGCCTGGGTTTCCAAGCTAGATCCCCAGTAGGGAGCATGCAAAAGGCAGCCGATCAATGATTCTCTCTCACTGCTGATGTCTCTGTCTCTGTCTCTGTCTCTGTCTCTCTCTCTCTCTCTCTCTCTCTCCCCCTCTCCCTTCCTCTCTGAAATCAATAAAAATATATTTTTTAAAAAAAGGAAGTAGGCTTTAGGTGTATATAAGCCTAACAACAAGTCCAAAGAATGGCAAGGCAGCTATAAAACTAATGGAATTGATGGTCCTATGCATCCAAAAGAAAAGTCCTAAGAACAGTGAAGTATGTGAAAATCATGGAGCAAACTGAAGGAACCAGAGGTATTTAGCCTAAAGAAGATGAAAGGGAAACATCTGAGCAGTCTGCAAAAACAAAGTGGGACAAAAGTAGGTTTACAGTTGTTCATATGGAAAATAATACAATATTTAATAAATGATAATACAAGAATAAAGTCTGTCTCGCATACTCACAACTTTATACCTACTTTTGCCCCATCCTGTATTTGAGTAATATCTGAATAAGCCTGTGCTTCTCAAACTCTATGGTAAAGGAATAATTTTTTTCCAGTCCTTACAGACACTTATAAAATACAGTAACAATATCAAGACAATGGAAAATTGCTATTACAATGTCTAAAAGCTTGGTCTCAGTTTCTGTACTTAAGTCATTGTAAACAGGTAAACAGGTCATGGCCCTTGTTTGAGTAGCTTTATTCCATCTGTACTAGAAAAAAAGTAGTAAGTTAAAGAGAACCATTTCATGGGGAGTTAAATTTCAGCTTGAATTCCTAGCAAATACATGTGTCCAATACTGGAATGGCTCACAGCACTAATCTCTTTGGAGAGGTTTTTAGACAAAAAAAATTGTGTCATATAACCTGTAAAATGGATTGCTACACTGAAAGGGTGATTAGGTTAAGTCACTGTAGGTGATTAGGTTAAGTCATTGTAGAATCTCTCTAGCCCAGCCGTGGGCAAACTACAGCCCGTGGGCAAACTACAGCCCGTGGGCCGGATCCGGCCGTTTGAAATGAATAAAACTAAAAAAAAAAGAAAAAAAAAAAGACCGTACCCTTTTAATGATGTTTACTTTGAATTTATATTAGTTCACACAAACACTCCATCCATGCTTTTGTTCCAGCCCTCCGGTCCAGTTTAAGAACCAGTGTGCCCCTCGAGTCAAAAAGTTTGCCCACCCCTGCTCTCGCCTCTATGCTTCTGAGAGGCCAATCAAAAGCAAACACATACATAAAATCCTTAAAGTAGCCAATAAAAAATAATAAAAGCATACTTAGAAAATCAGTTGTGATGTATTAGGTAAAACATGTGAAAAGAAAAAAGATGGAAAAATGACAAAACACTATGTAAACCATAATTAAGAAGCCTTAAATATGTGAGATTTATTAATAAAGGACCACTGTTTTCCTTTTTAACTCATTACTGACTATGTAAATACATTCTGGTTGCCCCTTCAAAGTTTAAAACAGTCCTCACTACTCAAACCACAAAACAAGGATTTTTTTAATTTTAATTTTAAGAAACATTGAGGAACACCACTGCCATCTTAAATTCTCACCTCTGAGTAACCATCAACCACCAAAAGGTTTACCCACATAGCCTCTGCACCTATCTTGATCCTGACCTAACTGTACCATTGGCATGAACAGTATTAGTCTTGTCTTCTGGTTAAATCATTCACTTTCTAGTGGTAACTACTTACACGAGTCTGTCCTTCCCAACTGCAGTCTTAAGGAAACAGAAACATGTACTCCCCATATTACTTCATGATCAATAGCAATTTCACTTTCAACCATAAACTTTAAACAGTTGCAAAGTATTCAGCCAAACGCTATTGCTATTGCCTTCAAATCCGCCCTCTGAAGAAACTGACCTAATGGCCACCAACTACTACTATCAACTTCTAGTTTGTTGAGGGCTCTTAGGTACAGATGTTACATAGTAGTCTATAATATCTTGTAAGAACAAAGGTGGCACCTAAATCAGGTGTCTTCATTAATTACCATATGCACTTACCATATCATTTCTCTAGAATTATAAACGGATATCCTTAGAAGACTTCTATAAATGCAACTCACATTGTTGTATTTTACATTTTTTTTATCGTGAATTTGGTACACTATTTTTGAAATTTCTGATCTAAAATACCACCAATAATGAACCCATTTTTTAAAAAAGAGCAAGTACCAATAATGATATCAATAAATTAAAATACAAAACAATGAGAGCAAAGCTGTTATAGAGTGGGAATAATTAAACACACAGAAAAAGAATAGCAGGTAAGTTAAAATGACAGAAACAGAAGAAAATTTATCCCTCAATACTGAGTTTTTAAATCACAAGAAGAAAACAAATCCAAAGTAAAAATCACCATACGCTTGCCAGCTTTCTTTTAAAATCAGACTCAAAATCTATGAATAAACTCACATTTAACATGAGTACTTAGATTGTTACCCTTTGAAATTTTCCTGGAATGTTAAGAAATCACCTGCAATGAGCCCTTTTCCACAAGTTCTTTCAGAGGCATGAAGACTTTAAACATTTTTAAGTATGAGCTCCAAAATAAATTCTCAATTCTGAGAAACATTTGAAAATCACCTGTTTTGTCTCTCAGTATTCTGTAGCTCCCTGTGGTCCCTTTTCAGATGTTTGGTCAAAGATGTAAAGTATTCTTTTAAAAGATTCTGGAAAGGTTGTTGTTTCTCTGGACTAATTATCTCACTAGGAGGAAAAGTCAAATTAAACTTCTCTGCAGCACTCTTTACTTTCCTTGGTATAAGTCCAGCAATATCATCTCCACAATGTCGACAAAAACTAATCACCACAGAAACATGAGTATGTGATTCCCGATCAGCATTAATAATATTTTTAAGCTGTTCATAGATTAAAGAAAGACCTTCCTTGTCAGTGAAAATCCCAACTATTGTCAATTCCGCAATAAAACGTAAATCAGTTCTTAATTTGGTAATGTTAGGTGTTTTCTCTTCTTTCCTTGCTTCAAAATGTTTTTTCCAAACCTGCAGAAGTGATGGAGCAAAGTCGACATAGCGCTGGTGAAACAAAGAGCATAAGTGCACAGCACAATTCACATCTGATATTTTTAGCTTTGCTTCCACAATAGAAGCTACAGCTTCTGCAATGTATTTGCTTAAATTTAGGCCATTAAAATCATGGGACAAGGAGTCTCTCTGTTGTTCCGTAATAGTTTTTAGTTTTTTGACAAAAGCCGTATTTTTCTTCAAACTTGAGTCTAGTCGGCTAAAGAAATTTTCCTCTGGTCGGTTGTCTGGAGCATTTTGGTTTTTGCTACGAAGTTCCTTTCTTAACTGATGTCGTTCCCACGCTTCCTGATGAAGTTGAAGAGATTCCTCTTTCTCTCTATATAAAAAAAAAGCAAACAAGTAAAATACCCTGTTTACTTCAAAGCATCACTGCCAAAACCCATAAAGGTGAAAGTCAATGAAAAAGTAATCACATAAGCATCACAATCTTATAAGAACAAAAAATGCAAAAGGCCCTTTCACTACTTTTAAAGACATTTTATTAATGACTTAAGATAATAACTCTGTACTGATAATACTATATACGGTAGAGGAGATGTTTCAAATAACTAAATTAAAAATCATTCTGCCAACTGGTAAGCTAAGTGGATAAAGCACTTTTATTTGGCATTTATACCTCAATAAAGCTGAAAAAATAAACAAACAGATAAAACACATGATGCTTAATATGAAAAATCCTTATATAAGAAAAGCGTAGTATGCAAATTGTCCCCTCAACCAGGAAGTCATCCAGGAGTTCGAACAGGGGGTGGGGCTGGCCAGGGGAAGGGAGGGAGGGCCCGGCCGGCAGCCACTAGGGACCTTACCAGTGCACGAAATTCGTGTACTGGGCCTCTAGTATATAAGAAAAGGCTAATATGCAAATTGTGCCCTCGGGAGTTCAACTGCTCGCTATGACGTGTGCTGACCACCAGGGGGTGGCACGGAATGAAGGCAGGCCCGGCCAGCAGCTGGCAGCCAGGGTAAAGAAGGCCGAGATCAGCCCTGATCACAGGCCAGACCTAGGGAGCCTACCTGTGCACGCATTTTGTGCACCGGTCTCTAGTATAAAATAATATGCTTGGGAAGGATAAAAAACCTAAAACTGTCCTGGCTAGTGTTTCTCAGTGGTTGGAGCATTGGTCTGTGCACCAAACAGTCTCAGGTTCAATTCCCAGTCAAGGATACATACCTGGATTGCAGATTCTCAATCCCCAACCCCAGTTGGGGCATGTGCAGGAGGCAACCAATCAATGTGTCTCTCATCACATCAATGTCTGCCTCTCTGTCTGTCTCTCCTCTCTCTGTCTGTCTCTTCTCCCTTTTACCCGCTCCCTCCCTTCCACTATCTGTGGAAAAAATATCCTTGTGTGAGAATTAACAAAAAAAAAAAAAAAGAAAATGCATTAAAAATGTTTTGAGACATTAAGTACCATTTTTCCATACTTAAGCATTAACCAAACCTTTAATTATGTACCTTGTACACTGGGTCTTAAAATTCAAGTGTAACTTTAAAAATTTGGAAAGGAACCAGAAGAAAACTATATGGTAAAAGCCCTACAAACTCAGTTTATCCTGAAAAGAATAGTTAAAAACAAATCTACCTATATTTCTACTAAAAAGATGAAACGTGTTTAAATTGCAGAAATAGTAAACTAGCTTGGGCAGGAGTGGGAGAATGGGGATAATCTGACTTTGAGGTTTCTAAGATACCAAAATACATAACTTTTAAATACTTATTCCTTAAAAAGTAGATTTTCATCTTCCTGAGATAAGTATTCTTGAGCTACCCTGTAGTTCTGATTTATTTCCCACTACAAGCCACAATATGTTAACAAAAGTTTCATCCACCACTGGGAACAGGGATATGTGAGCACTTCTTGGAAGTCTCCCAGTCACACACAAACACAGGATTAATAATGAGTATACTTTAAGAAACTATAACTTGAGCAGGCATGCAGCATATATTTGCATTAAGTAACTGAATTTTCATCAATATTAAAAATACTTTAAGATATATAATGAAATATGTACAGGTAAAATAATGTGATCTTTTAAAATACTCCAGGGGAGCCCTGGCCAGTGGGCTAAGTGGTTAGAGCACCGGCCCTCAAATCCAAGGGTCGCAGGTTCAGTTCTGGTCAAGGCAGGTCAAGGCCAGTCAAGGGCACATATCTGCGTTGCAGGTTCCCCACCCTGGTTGGAGCATGTGTGGGAGGCAACCTATTGATGTGGCTCTCTCACATCAATGTTTCTCCTCTCTCCCCCTTTCTCCTCCCTTCCACTCTCTCTAAAGTCAATGGGAAAAATATCCTCCAGAGAGGATTAACAAACAAATGTACATAATTGTTGGTGCTGCACAGATTGGGGTGGTGGGGAGGGAGTATTGGTTCATTACTCCATACTATTTTTGCATATGGTTGAATTTTTCCAAAAACAAAGTTGGGTTTTTGGTTGTTGTTTTAAGCTCTTTGTATTTGGGGAGAGAGGGAGCAAAAGTTACAGTGAAACTAAATAGCTTTGTGAATTTTTAAAGAAAACGAAAATATAAAATAAGCAAGAAGCACTACCGGTGTGCCTCTGGTTGAGCGTGGACCCATGAACCAGGAGGTTAGGGCACATGCCCAACTTGTGGGCTCAATCCCCAGTAGGTGGCATGCAGGAGACAGCTTATTGATGATTCTCTCTCATCATTAATGATTTCTATCTCTTGCTCTCTCTCCCTTCCTTTCTCTCTCTGAAAACAATACAAAAATATATTTTTAAGGAATTTGTATTAAAAAAAAAGGCAAGAAACTCTCAAGAATCATGGTTCTGAATATTCCAAACCTAGAATACATTACTATTGCCTTCCAGACTTAAGGGTCAATTCCTCATTAAAAATAGAAGTACTGCCCTGGCAAGTGTGGCTCAGTTGACTGGCCACAGTCCCATGCACTGAAAGGTTGCCGGTTTGATTCCTGATCGGGGCACATGCTCAAGTTGTGGGCTACATCCCAGGTAGGGGGCATGCAGGAGGCAACCAATCAATGCTCTCACATCAATATTTCTCTCTCCCTCTCCCTTAGTCTCTCTCTAAAAATCAATAAAAATCTTTTTTTAAAAAATAGAAATACGGTACTAAAGAACTTTCATAAGAAAGTAGATGGCTGAGCTACTCCAGAGAGCCATAACAACTCGTCTGCAAACAGCTATATATGTAAAGAGAAGAGCTCCTGCCATTCAATAACTGTCATTTACGCTAGATCCTAGTAGTCTTCCTATGAAGACTACCTCGTCTTCACTATCTACTATATTATTTGCATATATTTACAAGGTTAAAAATAAATTTAGATAAAGGTAAGAATGGGTGGCATTATATAATTATACTTAAGGACAAAGGTTCAAATCACAGTGCACCACTGTTTACTATGACCTCTGGCAAGTTACTTAACCTCTTTAACTTATATTAATCTATAATATGAGGATCAGAAAACTTCATTAAAACTGTCTTAAGTATATGTACTGATACACTTCCTAGTGCCTAGCACATAGTAAGAACTCAACAAATTACAACCATTAAGAACTAAAGATTTTAACTTAAAAAGAGAATATACCATAAAAAAAATTTTAAGCTTTTTAAAAAAAAAACAAATTAATTAAGATTACCCTCTATCTCAAAAAATATAAAGATTACTACTACCTAATTCAAAGAATTAAAGCACCATAGGCATGCCTCTAGTCAGTGAAACTAACAGAATATACAAGATATTCCCAACTCTTAAAGAACTGCACCCCCAAGTTTTATTTCAAATCATCACTGTTTTTCCAAACATTTCCACCTTCCTATTTCTCACATCAATCATTAAAATAATGTTCTTACTTCAACTGGGCAGCTTCTTCCTCTTGCTGTCGTTTTGCCTGCTCTTCCTGCTTCTTTCTCTCTTCCTCTTCATGTTTCTTTTTTTCTTCTTCCTCTTTTTTCTTTAATTCCTCTTCTGCCTTTACCTTTTCTTCTTCTTTTTTCTTGCGTTCCTTGTCTTCTTTTTTTCTTTTATCTTCTTCCAGTTTCTTCTTTTTATCTTCAGGGACCTTAATAACCTCTTTCTTGGCAGGGAGCTTGATCTCGTCTTTTGGTTTCTCCCTGCTGCTCACTGGCCGCCTTTCACCACAATCTTTTTCCTTGTTGTTTAGCAAAGATTCTTTTTCTTCCATACTTGCCGGCTTTTTACGCTCAGCTGGCATTATGTTACCCAGGACAATCTGTAAGAGTAAAAGAATGCAGTGACTTTTTTTAGCAATATGACACTATTGTTTTAAGCAGAACATATTAATGCAATTTGGTAATTGTGAGAGATTAAATAAATGCATGCAAAATGAATACTATTTGTATGATAAAATAATTTATTAGTCACTTTCCACATTTTATCATTATTAGTTATGCCTACGTCTAAGTACTTTTTTATTAACAAAAAACTCAAACAGAAACAAAAGTAGAGAACATAAGGAGCTTCCATATACTCAGCACCCTAATTCAATCATTATCAACTGCAAAATAACATATCATTTAATCATTAATATTTTAGTAATGTATCAGACAACATTTTGAATCAGTATTAACCCCAACATTTCACATCCTTTAAAAGACGCTAATGACACTATTTCACATAATATTCAATAGAAGAATTTAAATTGGAGCATGAGTTCTTGCCCCCTACAAATCAACTGACAAAATAGAAGACTCACAAATGTTATCTCATTCTTCTAACCTTATGAAACTTTCAAATTCAAAAACTGTCAACTATCTCAAATTAGACTAGACTTTTAACCTCTTCATTAATAGTCAAACTCATTTCTAAAACTAAATATCTCTACTTAGAATATAATTTTTATGGACATTGCTCCATGTTTTAACTCCTAAATCATGTGAAAGTTGTATGAGAAAATCAAAACATTTTCTATTTAACTTCCTAGTTCTTTATTTAAAAATTAGACTTACACAGTATTCTTAAATATTTTCAAATATAGGTTTTAAATTAAAGCAATAAAAACTAGATTATCAAACAAAACATTTGCAATAAGTATTTTATTACTTATTAACACACGAAGCATTTATTTCAGCACTCTAATAAATTATCACAGAAAGAAAACCTAGGCCAGCAGAAGCACTTGAGTAATTTTTGAAGGCACATGTCATTCTGTACCTTTTCTGTCACCTCTTCCTTCCCCTTTTTCTCTTTTATTCTCTTACTTTCCTTCATGTTAATCCTATTTAAGCAATCATTGCAATATGAAAGAGCCTAACTTATACATGTGGCAAGACCGTGTTAACATTTATATTATCTGGAAAGTATAGTTATCAATTTTTATATTGCTTCAATTAAATACCCATCTTGAATGTGAAAATATTATGCCCTAAAGCAAGCAAACTTTCAAAGGAGAATACTAATAGCTACCACTCACTAGTCCATAGTAAACATACACTTTATCTCATTTAATACTAAAATCTTTATGAGGTGGGTATTATTTTCCCTATTTTATAAATGCGTAAACTGAGACTTGATCAAGTAACCTGACCAAGGCCCATATAGCTGGTAACAGAGATGGAATCTGATGAACCCATATTCTTAACTAAAGTTATTAACTTTAAGAGTACTAAATGATGAGTTGGAAGACTTCATGATAGAATTAAGAAAAATCACAGAATTATGTATCTCAGAGTAGAAAGAGTCCCTGATAATGGTTAAGCCGTTTTTACATTATGTTTTTAAATTTTGGTAGATTCTACCTTAAAAGTTCGGGGACAAGTTAATTCTTAAGGTACCAATACAATCTTATTTATGATATTCATCAATATGCGTAAAAAATGTTTACAAAGAATTTGTATTTTGATATTTTTTTAAATATATTTTATTAATTTTTTTACAGAGAGGAAGGGAGAGGGATAGAGAGTTAGAAACATCGATGAGAGAAACATCGATCAGCTGCCTCTGCACACCTCCCACTGGGGTTGTGCCTGCAACCAACGTACATACCCTTGACTGGAATCGAACCTGGGACCCTTCAGTCCGCAGGCCGATGCTCTATCCACTGAGCCAAACCGGTCAGGGCTGTATTGTGATATTAAGCATCAACAAACCACATTTCAGCAATACAAGGAATAAAAATAAATTTACAATTTATGTCTCATTTTTTAAGATAAAATTAGATACCAAATACTCTTAAAACATTAAAAAATTTACTTGAAATCTGACAAATTCATACAGGATAAAGGATTATCATTTATTAGCTCAACAAAATCTCCCAAATGTTTGTGACTCTCTACAGTTTTCATTTTTGTAATAAAATTTTAAGTGCCTACCACACCAAACTGTAATAAGCACTCATAAATTAGATACTGTTCTAGAGCATACTAAAACAGATTCTAAATACGACCCTTAAGTCTTCGTACTGGTATCTTCTTTGAATCATTTTATCCTCTTATTACAAACATATACTCCAAGCACATACTTGGAACTAAATTTCAGTGAACAAAAAAATATGACAAAAATCTAAAGGTTCATGTAAAAGTAGCAATGCAACATGTAAAAAAAATAACATAGGCTTTGAAGACAGGAAAACTTTAAGTGTGCATCCCAACTCTGCAACCTGGAAACTGGGCAACAACTTCTGAGTCTATTTATCAATAAAATGGAGCTATTGCTACCTTTCTTACAGAGCTCTTAAACTTCTAACATAAAGGACGCATTAATAAATATTTATATTCTCTCACACAGAACACTAAAGTTCATTATAATATGAGAGATTTTTAGTTAGGACTACTAGATTTTCATTTATTTCAGTTCTCAATTTTTACATTGAGGTGGCAACAGAAGAGTGACATGCCCAAGATTACACAAGCCTCACTGTCCAGTGCTCTTTTGCACTATATACCCTGACTCTAAGATTTAAAAAGCCAAAAAAATAAATATACAAATGACATAATGTAGATCAGTGTGTATTTATATTATGCCAATTAAAAAAATTAAACTGAGCATTAAATTTGTTAATGAAATGCTAAACTTCTTTTAAATTATTTTAATAAATCCATGTTCAATAGAGCCAAATATTTTATCTAGTGTTTCAAAAAGTATTTCAAGTAAAAACAAGAACTTTAAATAAATTCTATCTCAAAATAATAAATAAAAATTAGCAATCTTTAATTAGAATATATTAGCTCTTACAAGTTATTTTACCGAATACAATTACATTCATACGGTCCTTAAAAGGAACCCATACTTTTAAAACCATCTTTTTAGCTCCCAAAATAGTGTCTTGGCCCTTGGGCTTTATGTTTCACTTGGTTTTCTAAATATATTCTGAACTTCCAAAAGAAAGTAAAACTACTTCACTAGTAAAGCAGGTACCATCGCAGTGTCCTGGGGAACAGAGTGTAGAGAAGGGGTGTTTGCCTTTTAAAAATACTCCTTTGCAAAGTACCATATGGACTCTGTATGAAATCACAATCAGACTGCTCTGAAAATACTCCAGAGTAAGAGAATGCTGTTTACCTTTTAATTCTGTGTTATTCAAATGTTCTAAGGGTGGCACAGCAAAGGGGCTTTATTTACCCGTCTTTGAATGTTAAGACCATCCTTAGTATAAAAGATTCAAAGTTTTTACAAATGTCACCGGTGTACCAAAACGGTTCTCCCGATGAGCTGTACAATTTCTACCAACACCTACAGACTATGATAAATGAGAAGGGTGAGTTCCCCTTCGGTCTGAAGCATCACTCCGTACAAGCCCTAACACAGAAAGAGCTGAAGGTGCGGTCCAGCGTGTGCCCCGAGCCCATCAGCTGGCTCTGCTTGGCCAAGCTGGGATCCTCTGCTCCTTCCACTGTCCTAACAAGAGGACCAGGAGCCCGGGGGTGAAGGCAAAGAGAAGACTCGCCGGCTCACCAGGCTAAAAAGCAACAAGCCGGGTCATCTAAGCCCACCATTCCCAAACACACCGACCCCTGCCCTCAAACACGCGTCTCCCACAGCCCGTTCTCGCTCCGTCCCTACACCGACCACGCTCCCCGCCACTGGCTCCCTTCCTGTGGGGCCCGCCGTCACCTTCGACTACCATCCGAGCCCCAACCCTAACTGCACACCCCACACTCTCACCCCGAAGACCGAAACTCTCCGGCTGGTCTCCCTACTCCACATCCTCCCACACAAGCACCCTCCCCACTTCCTCGCCCTCGCCTCCCACCCGCTCCTAAGGAGCTTTCCCCAACCTCCCCTCGCTCCACTCCACACCCCCAAACACCTTCACCCAGACACAGCAAGCTCCCCGCCTCCAGCCGCGAGGCCCAGCCCCCGCATGTGGGGCAGGCGCCCCTCATGCCTGCCCCGGGCCAGGGGCTCCCGCGTTGGTGGGAGCCTCCGAGAAAGAGGTCTGAGGAGGACGACGCTGGACCCGCGGTCCGTCTCCTGCTTGCCGCCCCCGGAGCGCTGGGCTGAGGAGTCGCCTCTTGGGTACCACAGGGAGTAGGAGTCCAGGCCGGTGCTCCTCAGACCCACTTCTCCCCGGTCGTTGGAGCGGAGGGGAAGGGGGTTCTCCGGACTCACCTCGAGCCTGTTGTCAACATTAGCCCCGGGTTTCCCAGCACTAACTCCAGCTCGGGCTCTCCCCTCCCTTCCCCCCACCTATCTCGCAGATGAGGGCCCGCCTTCCCTCAGCTCCCCCTCCTCCCTCCGCCCGCTGGCCCTCCCGCCCGCCCGCCCGCCACTCACCAGCGCGGACAGGCTGTGAGTGGGGGCGGGGCGGAGAGAGGCGGAAAGGAAGAAGCTCTCCTCTAAATTGCCAGATCGAACACAGTTCGGATCGCCCATCCGCCAGGATACCGACGCCCTTAGCTTAGCTACGAGGTGGTATATAGCGAGAAAAGGCTCAGATAAGAGCCACACACTTAGTGGCTCGTTCGAATTGTCCACTTGATGAGAGGAGAAAATTTTTTTAGGCAGGCAATCAATAGGACAGCCACAACCAGCACCTCGAGCCAGGGCCCCAGCTGAGGGGAGGAGTGTTCCGAGGGCCGGAGGCAGGAAGTGGATTGGTCGCCAGGAAAGGGAAGGCGCCTGTATTGGAGATGCGCAAGCGCAGGCCTATGGGAGAGGGGAGAGGGAGGGGAAGCGAGAATGGGCGGGGCGGGGCTAACAGGAGGTAAGTAAGGGCGTGGAACAGTAGGAGAATTACGGAGCGCCGTGAAGGACAAGTTTCGCCACGTGATTCTCGTGGGAGTTTCCTGGAGTTAACACAAGAAAGAGGTCTAAGAAGGGAAAGTTTGGTTGTACTAATTCGAGGAATGAGGGTGAAGGTTTAGGAAATTGGAAACTGGAGAAGCTAAAGAATATAGGTGGTGAGGAAGGTAGGAGTTGGTTAGGAGTGGGTCTAGATTTATGAGTGACCTGAAGAAAGTACGAAAGACCCGTAGGGAAATTTACAGGAGTAGTGGTAGGTGTTCGACGTAGAAACACCTCAGCGTGAAGAATCAAGGCTTTTTCCATACAGGTTTTTTTAAAAAAATATACTTTTATTGATTTCAGAGAGGAAGGCCGGTAAAGAGAGAGAGAGAGAAACATTAATGATGAGAGAAAATTATTGATCAGCTGCCTCCTGCTAGCCCCACACTGGGGATGAGCCTGCAACCTGGTATGTGCCCTAACCGGGAATAGAACCGAGACCTTCTGGACCTTCTGGTTCATAGGCTCACGCTGAACCAATGAACCACTCCGGCTGGGCTTCATACAGGCTTTAGAAAGTACCAGGTTTTAGCAAACAAATTTTAAAAATTACAAATGGAGTGATTTCCCTTGCTTAATTGAATTAAGTCATCCGTGTGTTGTTTTTAAATAGTCTTGTCATTACTTCCAAATGTGAACCCAAGTCAACTCTAAAATAGGTTTGGCTCAGTGGATAGAATGTAAGCTTTCGGACTGAAGTGTCCTGGGTTCGATTCCGGTCAAGGGCATGTACCTTGGTTGAGGGCATATCTTCAGTGGTGGGTGTGCAGGAGACGGCTGATCGATGTTTCTCTCTCATCGATGTTTCTAACTCTCTGTACCTCCCCCTTCCTCTCTGCAAAAAATCAATAAAATATATTTTTTTAAAAAATAAAAATAAAATAGGTATCATTTTATCCACACAACTTACTCCCTCTTAAATTACTAAATTTGTGCATCTGGCCTCCGATTTTAATTGAAACAGTGCTAAATTCTGCCAACATGATCTGACTAGTTGTTCATACAGTCGGTCAGCTTTGGCTAGTCAGGAGCCAAAGAAACAAAGGTGCAAAACTGGTCATGATTCTTTTTTGTTTGTTTAAAGCAGTGGCTCTCAACCTGTGGGTCGCGCCCCCTTTGACAGTCGAACGACCGTTTCACAGGGGTCGCCTAAGACCATCCTGCATATCAGATATTTACATTACGATTCATAACAGTAGCAACATTACAGTTATGAAGTAGCAATGAAAATAATCCTATGGTTGGGTCACAACATGAGGAACTGTATTTAAAGGGCCAGAAGGTTGAGAACCACTGGACTATATGGTCCTCTGCTGGGTGTCTGTTGTAATATAAATAATTCTAGCTGTGTTTTTAAAGCCAGTGTCAAGTTTAGCTAATTTAAGCAAGGTTAAATTACCTGTTTTTTCATATATTTTTTTAATTTCAGAGAGGGAGGAAGTGGGAGACGGAGATAGAAACGTCAGTGATGAGAGAGAATCACTGATCGGCTGACTCTAACACGCCCTACACTGGGGATCAAGCCCGCAACGCCAGGCATGTGCCCTGACCCGGGAATTGAACCGTGACCTTCTTGGTTCATAGGTCATTGTTCAACCACTGAGCCATGCCAGCAGGACCTACCTGTTTTTCCAAGCAGCCGCCTCTTCATGTAATATCTCTGGTGGAAATTTTTCAACAACTTGACCTCTGTCTCTTAACAGTTTCTGAAATGAATGTGCTGAGCTATATCCATTCAATAAGAAATCTAAGTGTAATCCTGGTTGGCATGGCTCAGTGGTTAGAATGTCGACCTGTGAACCAGAGTCTCTGATTAGATTCCTGGTCAAGGGCACATACCTGAATTGCAGATCTGATCTCTTGGTGTACCTATGGGAAGCAAACCGATCGATGTGTCTCTCTCACAGTGATGTTTCTCTCTCTCCCTCTCCTCTCTACCTTCCACTCTCTAAAAAGCAATGGAATAAATATCCTCACTCCTCGGGTGAGGATAAAAAAAAAGAAATCTAAGTGTTGAGGGTGCATTAAAACAAATCTAAATGTTATGTATATGAAACATAGTCGTACTAGCTATCAAACCATATTGAAATTTCTCATGGAATTGTAAGATTGAAAACCAGTTTACTAACACCAGCTTCTATTAATTTCACCAAAAGAGAAGTGAGGAATTGTAGGGTTAATTTTTTTTTAATATATTTTATTGATTTTTTACAGAGAGGAAGAGAGAGAGATAGAGAGTTAGAAACATCGATGAGAGAGAAACATCGATCAGCTGCCTCCTGCACATCTCCTACTGGGGATGTGCCCGCAACCCAGGTACATGCCCTTGACCGGAATCGAACCTGGGACCCTTCAGTCCGCAGGCCGACGCTCAATCCACTGAGCCAAACCGGTTCCGGCAGGGTTAATTTTTTTAAAATAAGCAAATTCAAAAGTTAAATGGCCCTGGCTGGAGAGCTCAGTTGATTAGAGCATGGTCCCCATATGCCAAGGTTGAGGATTTGATCCCCGATATAAGAATCAACCAATGAATACATAAATAAGTGGAACAACAAATTGATGTTTCTCTCTCCTTTCTTCTTTCTCTAAATCAATCAATAAAAATGTTTAAATAGGTTATTTCTTAAAGATTAAAAAATAAGGTAAAAGGTTAAACAGAATAAATGCTGCAAAGAAAATAAACAGAGAAATATGGAGAGGAATAGGCAAGAAAAGAATGTGGCTATTGCAGGGTGATCAGGAAAGTCCTCTTTATTGGTGCAAAATTTTATCTAAAACCTGAAGATTTAGAAGGTCCCAGTTATCCAACTACAGATATCCAATTGGTAGTTGGAAATCAGAGGAGAATTTTGGCCTAGAGATGACATCAGAGCATCATCAACATAGCTAGTATTTAAAGCCATAAGAAAAAAAGATCGCCCAAACAGTGTGGCTCAGTGACTGAGCATCAACCTATGAACCAGGAGGTCCCAGTTGGATTCCCAGGCCTCAATGTTTAGTATAACATCCCATGTCTCAAAATTGATGTTTCTTTTTTTTTTTTAAGTGAATGTATTGGGTGGCATCTATATATATATAAAAGCCTAAGCAACCAAACTACTGGTCGACTGGTCGCTATCATGCGCACCGACCACCAGGGGGCAGACACTCAACACAGGAGATGCTCACTGGTGGTCAGTGAGTATTCTCAGCTATTATTCTATATAATAAAACCCTAATGTGCAAACCGACCAAATGGCGGAATGACCAGTGGAACGACCAGTCACTATGATGCACACTGATCACCAGGGGACAGACACTCAATGCAGGAGCTTCACCCAGCCAACAGGCCCCAGGATAGCGAAGGCAGTTGCCAGTGGAGGCCCCCCAATTGCCCCGCAAGTTGCCACGCAGATAAATTCATGCACCTGACCTCTAGTATATAGATAAAGCTTTAAAAAAAGAAAAAAGTGCCGAAACCGGTTTGGCTCAGTGGATCCCCCTGGTGTCAGTTCACTCCCACAGTGGAAGTGCTGCTCAGCCAGATGCTGGGCTCAAGGCTGGTGAGTACAGTGGCTGGGTCAGTAGCCTCTCCTGCCTCCATGGTAGTGCTAAGGAGCAGCAAGCCAAGTGGTAAGGAGCAATGAGCAGGCAGGCAGTAAGGAGCGAGGGGTCCCAGACTGCAAGAGGGATCCTGGACTGCGAGAGGGATGACCACTGAGGGGTCCCAGACTGCGAAACGCTGCAGGCTGGGCTGAGGGACCTCCCACCACTGCAGGAAATTCATGCACTGGGCCTCTAGTAACTAATAATGACAGACATTTATAAATGTCATCTCTAAGTTCAATATTACTTCAGTTTGTCCAGCAGAATAACCATTCTAAATATTCTTTGGGGATACTAATAGATAAATGGTGAGAAAGCTAACCCTATGTATGTCATCTAATTGGTCTTCATTCTTTAATTCCTGACCTATGTAGCTAAGTCTATGGATGTCTGTGATGAAATATTCCATACACTTCAGGGAGAACCAAGATGGCAGCATAGGTAAACACCGGAGTTTGCTGCCTCAAACAACCACTTCAAAAATACAACTAAAAGACAGAACGGACATCACCCAGAACCACAGGAACGCTGGCTGAGTGGAAGTCCTACAACTAGGAGGAAAGAGAAACGCATACCGATACTCAGAGGAGGCTCAGTGCTGAAGTCAAATACTGAGGTGCGGAGTGCATGCAGAGCAGGCTGGTGGCTGAGGGCGTGGTTGGCGTTTTCAATTGGGAGGGAGTCGCAGACTCTGAGCTCCAGATCCGGGCGAGTCTTTAGGGACCCAGACTCAAACAGGAGAAGCGGGACTGTCTGGCTTCGGTCAGAGCGAGTGCAGCTTTCTCTCCGAGGTTTGCAGCGGTTGCTGGGACTCAGAGAGGCAGAGCCCCTGGGGCGA